GCGAAGCCGACAAGCTGGGAAGCCGAGAAGCCAACAAGCTGGGAAGCCGAAAAGCTAGGAAGCCGAGAAACCAAGAAGCCGGAAGCCACTAAGCCAGGAAAGCAACAAATTGCCTTGTAAGTCGTAAATTTGTTTTTGATCCTTTTTAAATTTTTTCTTGATCCTTTGTAAATTTTTTTTTGATCCTTTTCAAATTTTTTTTGACTCCTCTCCCAGGGAAGGCGACGTCCATCCTGTTGGGTCAGGAAGGCCTACTGCACCTGAGCCTAATTGGCCTCCGCAAAACAGCCAGAAGCCAACAACAAGCGAAGCGGCGAAGCAATGCGAAGCACCTATGGCAGCCTGCTGACTGGAGACAACAAGTGCCATCTATCCTACCGCATCTGGGCATATTGTCACCTACGAGAATCTGTGTGACTTGCTGTTTCCATCTTCGAGGAAACATGGGGATGAGGCAATTACATAAGGCTGCCTTTGACAAGAGGGTGCTTACATGCTTTTGCAAAACGAAGACTTGGCATACGTTGTGCCACAGGGCCCGTTCCAGACACGAAGGATCCGAAGTAGCGGCCGCTGCGTCTGCCGACCGCCCAGTAGCAGCAACGCCCGTTGTTTCTGGGACTCCAGGAGCACCTCAGTGAGCTCGAAGATTGAGATTGCTTCTTCCTTGATCACAGGATTCTGTCGCAGTCTGTTCATTCCCGACTCTAGGAGTCTAGTGTCACTGGGGGAGGGGGCCTGGACGTCCTTCCTCTGCGCAACCGTCTGCATCAGGTGCCGCGCATCGGTGACGAGAGCGTGCCAGGCACGGAGGACAGCCATGGAGACCAAACACCTCACAGCGACCACAGATCTGTGGACAGATGTCTGGCGACGCAGCCTCGTCATCCTCGTCACGAAAGCTTTCTGTCCACTGCAATCACCAGGGACAGCAGACTGACTCCACAAGATTGCACGGCAAGTACAGTAAGCAAACTCCAGAGAATATTTAAAAGGAGTAGTTACCACCAACATTCTGGCCGCGCATCGTTGTGATCCTATCTTCCAGGAAACAGGCCAGCCTGCGGGTGGCATCACGGCAAGATTGCCGCACTTCGGCTGCGGAGTTTTGAAGAGCGGCCTGGAAAAGGGACGTTGTGATAATGATGATGACGACCATGATGATGATGCTCACCACGATGGTGACAATGATCTTCAAAAGCAAAAGGGTGGTGGTGGTGGTGGTGGTGGTGGTGGTGGTCATCATGCTTTCTTGATCTTCTGCAGGTGGTTGCTCGCGCCGAAGCGACGGTAATCGCTGAGACCCCTGAGTCATGAGATGTCCGGAGCCCTGCAGTGTGTTTTGTCTGAGACGTGGCGTGCTGGCCTGCTCCGCGACTCCCGGACACGTACGACTCAACTCATGTAGAGTGCCGGAAACCCTAGTGCCGCAGCAGCAGAATGAACTTCGAGCCTCCGCATCACGCGCCTGCCTTGTCAGCAGCCGCCAAAGCAGCCAGGCCTCCTGAATGGAGAACTTGGTAAGCGGGTTTTCATGAGAATCCCAGGTCCCCAACAGTGTCCTGGACAGGCGGCCGCGGTGGCTCGCGCGCGAGGAAGGCCAGCCCGCTCCGTCTGAGCACTCGAAAGGCTTGCACATGGCCCCGCCAGCGGCCCAAAGCGGCCAGCAGGAGGAGGGCGTCGGCTTCGCGACCCAGCGACGAGCAACGCCGCTCCAAGGCCTTCCGTATCAAAGCCCCTTCTCAAAGCTCAAGCTGTAAGAATTCGAGGTTCGAGTAGTGGTGCGGTGAGCCTGGCCGCGGGCTAGCGCAAGGGCCAATTCTCCTTGAAGCCTGCGAACAGAATTGCGTCACAACTCTTCGCAACTTTTCTCACACTCTGGCCTCCCACGGCTGTAGTGCAGCTTGCCAGCAGAAACCAGCCAATGCCAGGCTCGAAGCAGCACCAAGACCCTTAGGTGCGCAGGCAGTGCTTCAACGAAGGCTCCATCCGCCCCACCGTCTTTTTCGGAGCTTTCTTAAGTTCTTAATAAGTCAAGGCGCAAGGAGCAGCGAAACGCGCCGCGCAAGGCCTCCCAAGACAGGAACGGCTGAGGATTCGCAGGTGATGCAGGTGATGCTCCGCGCCTCCTTCGTCCGGGCGCCGAGCCGCGCAAGCTGAGAAGCGGCGCGGAGGGCCCGGCGGTCTCAGTTTGACGCGTTCTGCGAGACTCTGCGAGAAGGCATGCACTCACGCGTCCTCTCTGGAAGCTTCGTTTCCGAGGTCTGGCCGTCGGAAGCCCGAAACAAAAAGAAGGAGCACGAGGCGAGGGCCCAAGGAGAGCAGCAGCACAGCACAGCGCCAGCAGTGCCAGATAGCCGCCGCCGCGCCCCTGCCATGCTCCGTGCATCCTCTCAGAAACGAGTCCGGGAGCGCGGAACGTCGGAGAGCCGGCCTCCGGCTCGAGAGGAGGAGGAGCCCGAAGGAGCGGTTGGAGAGCCGCTGCTTCACCTCCGCAACCTCCCAAAAAAAAAGAAAGGAAGGGAAGCGAAGGAAGGTGAAGGTCGGAAGGAAGGGCCCTTAAAATACTTAGAAGGAGGGCTGTGCATACTTCAATATGACCGACGTGTTCTGCTCTGCGCGCTGCTGCCGACTGGCCTTCTAGATTCAGTTAGAGGATACCTTGCCCATTTAGGTGCATGGCACCGCACATAGACCCCCCCCCCATACACCAAAACCCCATTTTTCATTCATTTTTCCCAACTACCTTCTCCAACAGCATACCACTTCATCCCCCACACCCCCGAATCACCAAATATTTTTCTCAACGAGCATACCATCAATTTTCCACCTTTTCAGACCTCATTTTCTCATTTTCAACCAGGCAGCCACTTGCCCCCAAGCATCCAAATCTTCAGCATCCAATTTTTCAACGAGCTGGTGGGGTGGGTGGTGCCGATAGCCTAAACAGGCAAGGGGAGTCCTGACTGATTCTAGGGCCCCCGCCTTGCTGAGGAGCACAGACCTGCGCCAAGACTCCACCGCAAAGATCAGCCAGGTGCGCTGGTTCCGCAGGACCTGTCAAGTCTTCGGCCACATGACGTCCGGGTATCGGCAGTATTGGGAGCCATCAGATATAGAATATATAGAATCCAGAGCAAGCTCTGGCAAGCTTCTCGGCACATATCCGATTTACAAGCTTCGGCAGGCCAAAGAACCACGAAGCCCCTGTGTTCGGGAGATTTTGCTTGAGAGTGAAGCTGCCCATCAAGACACTTCTCCGGTGCTCTGCTGAGCTGTGAGGCTGCGAGGCTGGAGACGGAAAGCTTTGAAGCCCAGAGCTCTGACTGCAGTCCGGCGGCCCCTTCGCTCCTCGCCCGCTGGAGCTTCCCAGCTGCAGCCAGGCGCCGCCAGCACCACAGGAGACTGGACATCGTCCTCCCGCAGGAATTTGTTCGAGCCACTCACGGGAAAACAACGACCCTGGGAACCCCACCCCCAAACAGCGGGCTGTGAAAGGCTTGCACCGCGCACTCAGAAGCCACCTGGAGAAAGAAGGGATCTCCAAATTCCGCGGTTCGCGGCGGAGAGGTCGCGTCTCGGTCGAGAAGCCGCTTTTGGCACTCAAACGGTCGCAAGTCTGATGAAAGCAGTCGCCAAGCTGCCGTAGGCTCTGCCAGAGTCGTGACAGGCTCCGTCACGGGCACGGGTGGTGTCCTGCCGGCGCATGTATGGGATGGGATCGGCAGGAAGAGGCACCCAAACTGTGCTACCCAGGCTTGCATGGCATGGAGTTCCCGGTCCTTGCGTAGGCCGTGAGCACCGGCTGAAACACGGCACCTGAGCTCCACGAGCTGCCTACAAGTAGCTCGGGCTGCCGGGCTCTGGGCGGAAGGGCGAAAAACTCTGAGCCGCCGGCTCTGTACAGGTCTGAGGCAGACTGGCTCCTGGAGCTCTTGGAGCTCCGGAGCTTCGACTTGGCTCCGCTGGATGTTGGCGAAGACCAAGGCGCCGTGCCAGGCTTGCCTGGGGCGGAAAACTGCGACCGAAGAACATCCGAACAACTCCATTATTGGACTGCGGGTGGCAGGATAGCATAGGCCAAGTCAAATCTTCGCAGAGTGGACAGAGCATCGGCTGCTCTTGACCGCACGCCTGGCACGGAGCGTCGGGGCACAGACTAACTGTAAAGACCTGTCTTAACTTGGCCGTGCTGCGGGCCACTTCCGTGGAGCCCACCCTGCAGGTCACAAGAAGGCTGCCGAGCATGGCAGGAAAAAAAGCTCCGCACGTAAACGCTGAGGCGCTGGCTGCCAGCCTGCCCAGGCCTTATAAGGAAACTCAGCAAAAACACACACTGCGGAACCCCTGCAAAAACTTTCGGGGATCCCCTGAACCTCCACAAGCACAGGCCTGCCAAAACATCTGCTCGCCGAGGCGCTGTTGAGAGCAGGTCCTTCCGCCGTCGCGTTCGGAGGAGAGCCACCAGGCGAAGGGAGGCCGCAGGAGCCCCACCTTTCCAAAGATAAGGCGTGAGCCGAAGAGTCGCGACACTTGCAGTGCCTTGTTGAGACACCGCGGCTGCATGCCAGGCCCACCTGCATCCGTGCAGCTGCCACAAGACAGGCTTGCCCTTCACTGTCTGCAAAAAAGCTGCAAGTAGAGCTGCAGCCGCCAAGCACGGAAAGCTCGCCTGAAGCGAGAACCGAAAAGCCCATCTACTCTGTCAGGTCGGTTGGACACTGATGCCAAGCGCGTGGCACGTCCAGTTTCGGCTGCCGCCGTTCCCTCTGCATGGCCAAGCGCCAGTGGTTTATCACCTTCTGTTTGAGTGTGCTGGACCTGGCACAGAAAACATCGGACGGCTTTTCAGGATGGTGTTAATTAATTACGAAGATTGTGGCGGTTCACGACAATCGGGAAAAAACGGTGAATCGCATGGAAAACAACATCCGTGCCAGTCAGTGCAGGCCACAGGAAAAAGCAGAGAAGGGTCCCGCAGCGCAGCGCATTCTCCTCGCTCAGGCAGGAACAGTATCGAACAGGACAGATATCTTCACGGGACCAAGAAGTCCGGGCATTGCCTCTCAGAACAACATCCGAATATCCCCCCCCCTCTCCCCCTGGGCTTCCCGATCCACAGCTCCCCTCATGGACCTCTCGAAGGGATGGGTTGGCCACCTCGATTCGCGTCTCGACTCGCCTCTTACACCTGGTTCGCCAGGTGTGGAAGACATCCTCGGCTGCCCGTCTCCATTCACACCATCCTAAACCCCGTAACCCGGATTGACGGCAAACGCTCTGATGCTCTTCTCCCAGCCTTCTGACATCTCATGTGGCGGCCTACGGTAAGCCAAAGACTGATCGAATCTAAGTACCAGAACTTGGCCAAAATCCGGACATTGACTTGGAGGTTACGAGGACTGCAGCAGCACCGAAAGCAGCCGTGGAACTGCACGGATCCTTCGCTGGCTTCTCCGACAAAGAAGGACGGCGACCTGTTCGACAAGAACCCCACGCCTGCCTAGTTAGTCTTCAACTGTGTCTACAATCACCCCACACCATGTCCTGTCGTGGGACCTCGCGCATGCCCGCACTCAGTTCCCTAGGGTTTTCTGCGCTATCCAGACCCTCCAAGAGACCACCCCTGTCTTTTTTCTGAAAGTTTTCATGGTGCCTGGGAACGGACTTCCACCTGGCCTCTGTGCGCAGCAGCTCCGCTGCCGTGCATTGCACTGACAGTTCGATGGCCAAGCTGTCCTGTGGGGAACTCGTGAGAGCTGCGGGAATAAGTTGAATGTGGCGACGCCAGCCCAAGAGTATTTCGTCATAGTTATGACGAAACCGCAAGTCTATCGCAGGCCCTGATGCTGATTAACAAGCTTCCACGCCCGTGTTTTATTTGGGCAAGTGGTTCGAAACTCAGGCACACTTCAATGCCTGACGACCATCACACAGACTGAGGGAACCCCAGATAAACCCAAGCACTGACAAACCTCTGTAAATATCTGACGGGGTCAAAAACTGCCTTGCATTCTCCGTACTACAATTCGCTCGTGTATCTTAATGTGCACTTCTCTGCAGGCAGGGTGGCGGCATGCGCTTTCAGAGCCGAGAGCTCGGAGTCAAAGGTTTTGCCGACCTGCAACCTTGGTATGATCTCAAAAGGCCACCTCTCCAATGGAGAGGGTTTCGACTCTCACACTCGCACGCAGCAGGCAAGAGGGTTTAGGGTTCAGGGAACAACACTGTGTCTGCTACGATGTGTGCTCTCCGTGGCGTGCGTGATTTTGAGTTCGTCAGGACGATCAAAAGAAGCCCTGCAAAGTCGATTGCTGTTCTTCCTGAGCCACCGAGACGACGGACGACGGTTCCGCGCCAGACCCATGGCAGGCATGGCAAGCATCCATCGGAGCTGGTTCTGAGGCTCTCAGAGAGCGTCTACACTGTTTGGAAGCTTTCCGAGCGAAGATGTTGCCACTCTGTCAAGAGTCTTGCCAGAAGGTACGCAATGCTAGCGTGGGAACCTGTGCTTTGCCGCCAGGGTTGGCTGATGTGGGCTGTGAGTGGGGATTCGGGACGCTGACCAGCCCAAGTGCAGCAGAACGGGCCGGCATGAACTTCCGGACCCCACCGAATGCCACAAAATCTGCCGGCACGAGTTGCGGCTTGCTTTTGCGGCGCCGCAGCATGTTCAAGGCGAGTCCCCAAGCACGGCGCCCAAAAGAGGCCTAAGAGCTCTTCGAAATAATTGCGGCCTGCTTGCCGGGATTTTCGCTTGCACGGCAGACTTGCGCATGCCCACCAGCCGGCCGTTACCAAATTCGCCAGAGGCGCAGCCATCCCAGATGTGCCACCAACCCTACAAGTATCTGCAATGATCCGCAGGCACGTAGTTCGCATTGATGCCAACTTTTCAAAACATACGAGTAGGAGCCGATTCGGGTCCCTTCCGTCTGGGACGTGCTCTGCTACGCGCCTTCTGGGCCACCCTGTTGCGAGGCATCGGGCCATCGACTTCCGACTCGGGACACATACATGTACCCTGGCGCTTCAAACTCCACTCTAAGAGAGTGGCGCACCTCGGAAAACTTCAAGTCCCATCACGGAGATCATGGAAAGGTCTATGCTTCCTGCTTCTGGAAGATCAGGTCTCTTGTTGCCCACCTGTCTTTGCATGAAGGCTGGAAAAGCGTTGGGCCTGGAGCTATTGTAACTATATCGAGGCCAGAAGTCCAAGCCACCACACAGACGACGCGAAGAGGAGCCCCCTAACTACCACGCTTTTAAAAAAAAAACCTGCGGTCCTCGGTATGGAGCCTTGGTTGTGAGCGCATGAGTCTGGTCGTGCCATGCGCTCGAACAGGGTAACTGCAAACAAAACTTTGCGAAACGTCAACAAAGCCAGTGCAGTGAGCCGCAGCCAGAAGGAGACACTGGGTTGGGGGGGTCTGGAGGGTTGGAGATTCGGAGATTCCGACTGCAACTCACAGGAAAAGGCCAACTGCCTTCTCGGCATTGAATTAAGTCTTTTCAAGCGCATGCCATAGGTGCCATACCTGAGCTCAAATTCGAGCACCCAGAAGAGAGGGAAGAAGTGAGTGAAAAGTCTCTCGGCCCCCGACCGTCCTTGGCAAGAACCTCCCTGGGCTCCTCCCTCAACTCACTGCAAACCTCGGACCCCGGAAGCGCCCGGCCCCGCTTGAGGTAAGAGTCTTATTTCTTGCCTGTTGCCGCCCGAGCGGAGGCCGGGAGGGGGTGTGTGTGTTTGCCTTGCTGTTGGGGGGCAAGGGCGGCTTTTTTTTGGAAGCGGGGGGGGGGGGGGGGGAGGGTCTTTATCCCTAAATCCTTTACACTTACACTGAAAGCCCTCAACCTTGTGATAAATATGGAAGAGGAAGCCCGTTCGTGCGCAGGGGGTGTTTCTATTCTTGCTGTTGTTGCGGGGTGGTGCTCTTTTGTTTGCTGTTGCTGCGGGGCGGTGTTTTTGCTGCTGTTGCTGCAGTGGTGGGGTGTTTTTATTTGGGCCCCCCAGCGGCTGTTCGTTGGTGCGGGAGGGGGGGTGTCTTTTTTATGCTGTTACTGCGGGGCAGTGTATTTTTTGCTGTTTGGGCCCCCGCCGGCCGTTCACTCACGTGCCGGTTTGCTGTCGCTTCAGCTGGTGCCGGAGGGGGGTGGGTGTTTTTTCGAATGTTTTTGCTGTGGCTGTTTTTTGTTGCTGTCGCTGCGGGTGTGTAAAAGTAAGTGTGTGTGTGTGT